CAGTGTCCAGTGACAGCTGTGGAGGGAATGAGGTCTGCTAGCATACTTTGTCACATTCCACTCTTTTGGATTCTCACAATATGAGTGCAAGACACCAGCATTGTAACACACTTTGATTATAGAGAGGCCTTTTCAGTCATTAACATTTGCATCAAACAATTAATGAAAGCAAAATCAAGTTTACAGCAGTAAACAGATGATTATCAGTGGAAATGGACAAAAGATACCTCAGACATACATCTCTGATGATACTGTAAGTAACTATAGCATTTGGGGGAGTGCAATCATGCAGGATGTGACAATAAACATAAGCTATGACTCAGCTATTCACTTTTGGAAACAGCTCCAAGGAGATAGGACAAAGGTCAAAAAAGAAAATTTTGTACAAAGATGTTTGCTGCACTCTCTCTATACTAGGAAGATATTTAAAATAGACTATCAACTAGTCAGGCGGGCAACACATGCCTGTAATCCAGCGGCTTGGGAGGCTGAGGCAGGACGATTTCGAGTTCAAGGCCAGCCTCAGCAACTGAGCGAGGCCCTAAGCAACTCAGTGAGACCCTTTCTCTAAATAAAATATAAAAAGGGATAAGGATGTGGCTCAGTGGTTAAGCGCCTCTGGGTTCAATCCCTGGTACCAATTTAATAATAATAATCCTATCAACTAAGTAAGTCCTTAACAAAACATAATATGAAGGTACAAAGCAGAAGTATGGATGACCATTCAAAATGCTACAAACTATATTCATGCATGCATTTTATATATGAACTAATAAATGAAAGTAAAGGTAGAATACAATAGATTCAATATATACTTGCACACAGATGAAAATGTATACAGGTGTGCATATATTATGCCACGAGTGAATCAGGAATGATGTAAATAATTGGTATTTAAAGTTCTCGGAATTTTTAATATTAAGACCAAGACAAGCTTCAACTTGAGAGAGGGGAAGTGGGGGAAGAGATCTAGAGGTATCTGTGGATGCTTGAGTGACACCCAGGAGAACCCTATGAGCCTCAAAGGCAGAGTCTAGGCAGGACAGGGTTCTCATCCTCGACACTGCCGTCATTTGGGGCCCAACATGGTAGGATGATTACCAGCACTGCTGGCTTCTATCCACTAGATGCCAGCAGCACCCTCCTACTCCTGACAATCAAAATTACCTCCAGGAAGTCTAAGAGTGGAGATTGAGAGGCCAAATCACAGTTAAGGACTGGTGAGAATGATAAACAGACACCAACTCTCCACCTCAGCTGTGGGCAGGAGGTGGCAAGCGATAAGGATTGGGGGAGCCAGAGACTGTGTGCCCTTCTAAAGCAGCCAGTCCCTATTCACCTGGAGATCCAGAATGACAAATCCTGACTTTTTAAGATTCACAGCTAACTCAAAGTTAAAACATAATGCATCCAGAGCCTCACATGCATCAGCTACAGCAGGCTTCCACGCACTTTCTGCAAGGGCCAGATGGTGAGCATCACAGGCTCTGCAGGCACAACTGTCTCATTTGCCTTGACAGGGAGAAGCAGCCACAGATGATGAATGGACAATGAGTAAGGCTGGGTTCCAGTGAAGCTTTATTTATGTGCACTGAAACTTTAATTTCATATGTTTTCACTTCATGAAACATTCTTTGATTTTGTTTTCAACTGTTGAAAATGCCAGTACCATTATCAGCTGATAGTCCCACCAAAACAAGGCCAGGATTTGGCTCAAGGGCCATGGTTTGAGACCCCCTGGGCAGTAGTGTGCCCGCAGCAGTACCAGCAACTAAAGGCATCCTGGAAAGGAGGACAGGTCAGCCCTGGGTGGCCAGACACCCCAGCACACAAGGAGGAACAGCAGGCCTCAGAGGGGCCTATGCTAGGGCTCCTTTCTCAACTCCTCCCCTCCCGCCTCTTCCAAAAGCCCCACACAGTATCTCCACTTTGCTGTCTCCAGGACGAGAAGGAAGGCTTCATTGTAAAAAAGTAAATAAATAAATAACACAGATTGGTTTCTCTGACTTTCCTTGACTTTTTTTTCTATTATTGTAAAAAAGAGGACACCATTGGGCACCAACCCAATTGTTTTGCAGGGTTTCCAGAGTCCTAGAAAACTCTTTTAAAAGGGATTTTGTCTGTTTTTAATGACTTTGCTAAAACGCAAGTCTCCTTGCTTGTGTCCTCACAATGCCTCTTTGACAGAAAACACAGATGGCCTTTCTCTAATCACAGAAGCAGCCCAGGATTCTGGGAGTGGGGAGACTTGGGGACTTGATCCAGAAGAAGAAGCCACCAGTGGTTTCTGAGCTTGGAGGCCTGGCCCTGAGTCTGCACTGGAGAGCTGAGTGAGCAGCCCCCTGGACTGGCTTCAGTGAGGCCACCTTGGGTCTACCTAGAGCAAAGCAGAGAGCCTCAGCTCCCTACCCCTAGAAGGCAACGAAAGTAAACAGGGCAGATGATGGAGGGAGGCTGATGGGAATGGAGAGGAAAGAAAAGAAAAAAGAAATAAAACAAGAAAATAAAGAGGAAGAGTTGAAATGATGCTCTGGGAGTAGGGGGAAGAAGCAAAAGACAGGAGGCCAGAAGTGAGAAAAGGGAAGAAGAAATGAAACAGAGGAAGGGCTGGGCGGCATCTGCCAACTACCAAGTCAGCCTCAGTGACTAAGAAGGTGCGGGCAGAAAGCAATATTTTCATTTTCGAATCCAGTCACTGGAGCCATTTGGGATCCTTCTCACTCCCTAGCCATCAAATTATTGAATGTTCAGATTCAAAAGCCTCATCAGGTGCATGCCTGTAAACCCAGTGGCTTGGGAGGCTAAGAAAGGAGGTTGGCAAGTTCAAAGCCAACTTCAGCAACGGCGAGGCACTAAGCAACTCAGTGAGACCCTGTGTCTAAATAAAAGACAAAATAGGGCTGGGGATAAGGCTCAGTGGTAGAGTGCCTCTGAGTTCAATCCCCAGTATTTATTTAAAAAAAAAAAAAAAGCCTCATCAGATATAAGACAGACAAGATGGTGAGGTTCGAGGCTCTCCACCCCCACACACCTCCCACAGGATCTCACTGAGTTGTTTAGGACCTTGTTAAATTGCTGAGTCTGACTTTGAACTTGCAATCTTCCTGCCTCAGCCTTCTGAGCCATTGGGATTACAGGCGTGCAGGTACCCCTTTTGTTTGGCTTCTTTCTCCTCCCAGGCTTGAAAGCAGGATGAAGGGGTAAGGGGGTGAGCTAGAAGCCAACGGTCTCATTCCCCAATGCCTGCTTCGTGCTTCTCTCACTCACAGGTTTACCAGCAGTCACTGTTCTGAAAACTAGGCCTGAAAAGCCCTGGGACTGGGTCTGCAGCCACCTTAAACCTCATGAGGATTCTCATTTGAACATAATGAGGAGGGAGACAGGGTTGGGAGAGCAGCCACACCTTCCTGTGCCCATGGTAAGAATGCAGCTGAGGACAGTAACAGGTGACTCCACAGGGACAGGAGGAGATACAGGCACAAACATAAAACCAGCAACAAAACCATGGCTAGAAAAATACATGATCCCAGAGGATTCCACTGAGTGGCTACCCTACCCCATTGTGTTCCATTTGAGAGTGTTCCATTGAACATTCTCAGCATCACTCCCAGAGAGGACCTGGAAGGTCAAAGTCCCAACTGTGACCGAATTACAAACCCAGAGGAACTCAGAAGTCACCATATTGGCCCACCAGATTTGAAATGTCGTGCACTAGCAATTAATTTTAGTTATAGGAAAGTAAAGCAATATTTTTGCACCTAAGTTGTAAGCCTGTGAAGTTCATATCTGCAACACAAGTACTAACTTCTAGAAGTCTCTTTGAAAAAATACTATCAGCCTTTCTGGCTGAAAATGCTGGGTTCATGGTCCTTTAGGCTGCTCAGTCATTTCCTGGCCATCCCTGTATCCCAGGCTACATGCCCTTTTCCCCCACCATGCAGGCCACAGTCTCAGCAAGGAATCCCGAATCGGCACTTTCACCAAAGGCTGCACTAATTGTCACGAGCTCTGTGCTTAGCTGGAGCAAAGGAGAAGTCCTTGTGGTGGAATTGCATTGCATGTCCCAAGGTCTTGCTCAGCCCCTGCTGGGAAGAGGACTTTCAAGGGTGTGCTCAGTAAGCATTCCTGGGCTCTGAACCAGTGTGAGGGGTCAGCATCCCTATACAAAAACCACTCAATGTTGGGTGCCTTTTTACTCCCAGGCATGGGAGCAAGATGGAAGGGCAGCAGAAGCTGGAAAATGGCCTGTAGGCTGGGACAGGACTTCTGCTCCTTTGCTCCAGCAAAGGTAAAGGGCTCAGGATATGATTTGGTGACAGAGTGCTTGCCTAGCAAGTTGAGGCCATGGGTTCAATAAAATAACCAATACAAAAAAAAAAAAAAAACTGGGTGAAAAGTTCTGGGTGGGATGTTGCTGTACACACTTGAAATTTAGCAAGGACTATGAAGAGGCTCAGGCACACCATTAGAAAATTCTACTCCATTTCTAGGCCTCTGTGTTGAAAAGAGTAAGATATTAGGGCTACGTGGGAAGAATAGAATACAGGTTCCCACCAGACCACCAAGCACCAACCAAAAACAATCTTCTGGCACAGTCCCTCTGGGAACTATAAGGGATAGCCCTATAGCAAAGGCTGTGACCATGACTCAATTCCTAGGGAGACCAGATGTCCACCTAAGAAGTCTTTTGAGTTCAGAACCTGGGTCTTCATTTTTAGTCAATGTGTCAAGGAGTCCTTCAATGGAGCTTATTATCTGAACAAAAGAAAATAACTTCTTTTCCTCTACAAAGCACTCAGGCCTACCACGTCTCTTCTTCTCCCCAGCACAAGTTCACACCTGTGCCAGGCAAGCCCAACTATTAGCTCAGGGCAGGGGGAATTTCTTCAATCCAGGCAGAATGCGGAAGGGGCCAAAGAAGCGCTTCTTGCCAAGTCTTGATATCTTCTCTAGGCCAGGTCATCCACACTGAGACTGAGGGTCTCCTACCATGGTGGCCTTTAGACTTCTGTCTTGGTTTGGTCTGGAAGTTTTTCATGCACAAGAAATTCTCTGGTTGTTACTGAATTTTTCAAATATGGATTTAATGCTCCTTCCTCATAGAAATAGTCTGGTCCTAAACTTTCACCAGAAGAGAGAAGTTGCTCTTCAACTTCTGAAGAGTTATCTTCTGACATTTCTAACTTTGAGAGTTCAGATTTTCTGGAAGGAATCTCAGTTAAAACCTGCGAACTCTTTTCTGGAGGACAGTCAGGCCTGTTGGGGGAGGTTACATACTCATTCCTTTCTCCTCCCCAAATGTTTTCCTGGCCCTTTTCAGCTTCTTCTATGGACACCTCTTCCAAAAAATTCTCAAAGTTCACCACCAACTTGTCAATGAGGTCACTGGGAACACAATATGATTTTAGGATGCTATCTTCTGTGTTCACAGAGTCATCAAATTCCTTAAGATTTGGCTTATTCTGGAAAAGAAAAAGGGACATACCCCTCATTGAACTTGGGTCACCAAAGTCCCAACCCCTCAAACAGCAATCCACCTTCCTCCCTGGCTCAGAAGTGATGGCCAACCATGTGAGCTTGGCAAGAGTGAAGCAACAGCTCCTGAGAAACAGCACCTTGTATTCAAAGAAGTCTTCCAGAGAGCTCAAGGCTATTTTCCACACAATGTTCACAAAATCCCAGGCAAGATGGGAGTACCAAATTTAGAACTTTTGGAGATGGAAAAACTATATCCCTGACAGTCCTGCCCAATACCACCAGATGTGTCCTTGTCATCTTGTATCCCCAGGATCTCGCCCAGGCCTGATACACAGTAGGCGATTAATCAGTGCTTGCTGAGAGCTGGCTTGCAGATTATTCAAAAAGCACTTCAGTCATCAGACCACACTGCCTATGAATTCATTTATTCTCTAGATAACTTTCAGTAAGTAGAAAAGTGAAGAGGGTGACTTAAGACTGAAGAGGGAGAAAATAGAAATTCATTTTCACCAAAAATGCCCATGCCACAGAAGACTTCTGAGATGAAACAAGGGCTAATATTTGTAATGCCTGTAACAAGGAAAAACTGGTAATAATCTTTCCACAATAAAGATTTAAAGGTTATTATATTTGATGGGGCCTATTCCTACTTAAGCAAGAAATTATACCTTAGAAATTTCATAACAATTTTCAATATAAAAACTTAGAAACAGGAGGGTTTCTACTTAAAGAAAATATACTAGAAAACCCTAACCCCCAATTACATAAGGTGACTCTAATTTTCTCAGTCTGAGAAAAATGATTTGAGGCAGCCTTTGGATCGCCATGATTGTCACATCCCCTCAGGGTCTCTAGGTGGTCCCTAGATTAATTTGTTCTTGTCTGCTTTTTAAATGACCTCAAATCTTATAGCGAAGCTACCTCCTACTCCTCCCTCTCCTCCCCCTCCTTTTTTCTCTTTCTTTACTTCTCTCTCTCTTTCTCTCTCTCTCTCTCTCTCTCTCTCTCTCTCTCTCTCTCTCTCTCTCATTAGACTATCAAGTCATTGAGGATAGGGTTGGGGTCTTTCTTCAGCACCAAGCTTTACAAGACCAGCCCCATGCTGAGAACACACTGGATCCTTGCCAATAAGTCCTTTCCTCTTGTGCAGAGTACAAGGTCAAAGTCATTCCAGGAAGGCTGATTCCATCTGCCCTACCAGATGTTCCCTGGAACTTTCCAACCTTGAGTTCTCTCTATATGAACCCTAAAATAAAAGCCCAGCTCACGACTTCCCCACAGCTCCACTCATCTGGTCACTTCCCACACCAGCCCACAATGACTTCCTGAACAGAAACAGTGGTGTTGTTTGTTTACCTTGCAGTCATTTCCATGCCACGTGGCTATACTACTTTCAGCAGGGTTGGGGACAATGGGCCAACACAGGTGAGTCAACTTGCTAATGAGAGATAAGAAAAAAGAAAAAAAAAAAAACAAACAGGAGGTAAGTTCACAAAGTGTCTTACACATGCTGCATGGCTGAGGCAGAACAGTGAGGTTTGCTAAAGAGTACTGCATGGCTCCCCACTAACTAACTAAGGGCAAGCTGCTGGTCTCCTGGCAGAGATGGGGAAAGTGAATTAGTTTGGGAAGGGAAGTTGTAAACTATCTATGAAATGTGATGGGAGGAGACCTCTCCCCTTGTAAAGCTGTTCCTTTTTTCCTTTCTCTCCCACCCCTGAGTCTTTACACCTGTACTGATGCTGAAAACTGCACCATCACAGTCACTCCTTTGAGTTATTCCCTTGGAAAGGCAACACTTTTAAGCTACTACTTTAGTGGATTCCAATTTGCAGCACCATTGCAAATGCAAAAAGAGCTCATTGCAAATGAAAATTATTGGGTTTCACTCCAGAACCCAGAATCAGAAACCCTTGGGGCAGGGCTCAATTCTGATGGAGGCTAAAAATTGAGAAAAATTAGTCAAGTGTATAAAGTACAAAAAGTTTGTGGATGATTTGGACACAATCTATGGTTGGTAACTGAGGTTGACATTAGCTTAATTATTAACTAAACACAGCTGCTTGACCTACAAGTGTCCAATGTGGAGAGAGAGCTCTACCAAGAAGGACCTTCAGGGAAGCATGAGGCTCACTGTGAGGAGAAACACAAGATCCTGAAGACAGGCTTCCTTCTCCACACTAGACAGAGTAAGAAGGACAAATGTCCCTGCAGCCAGCTCTTCAACACTGTACCACAAGCAAGGAACAAAATTTTAGTGTCATACAACTGGTCAATGTTCTAATCCCAGAAGTACAAAACTCCCTGCTCTGCCTCTTGCCATTGTCGGGGTCCCTCTAGCAACTCTAGTCTCAAATGGAAGAGCAGCCGACACTCCCTGCCTCAGAAAGGCCTTAACCTAGTGTGTGAAGCTGTGCAGGTGTGAAAGTCCTCCTGATTGGTCTTCTTATGAACCACAGAAAGTGACCCTTAATGATCTCAATAAATATCTACCAATATCTTCATGGTGGCCTCTTGTATCATGTGCCCATGATGTCTTCCACCCTTTTCCATCCCTAGGTTTTAAAGCACCTACTATTACGTATAAACTCACATTGCTTTTTTGAGACCAGAGGCCACAGTCAGGACCGTGAATATAAGAAGTCCTCCTCCAACCAGAGAAGTTATAAGGACAATCTCAAAGACACCTTTGGGGAAAGGAGAAGAAAAGTCTTTTGCAAGCCAAGTTCTTCACTTTCTTGACAAAAATCAAAGATTAACTTTTTCTTCTAGTAGCTCATCAACATTTCTTATTAGTTTTCTTTCAAATAAATTCAATTTCTTTCTATTTAAAAAAAAAAAAAAACCTGAGATTCATGGTTCCCCACCTAGCTATCTCCTCCCTGCTGATGTGACAGATGTTATGACATTGTATTTGATAGACATTGAGCTTACCAAAGCCATCATCCAACTTAATTCACTCAACAAATATTTACTGAGCATCTGTCATTTACCAAACACCATTGTGAGTAATAAAACAAACACAATAAGCAAGAAATAGAAGATGCCTCCTCACAGGGAGTCTATGTTCCCATACCTGGATTAAGACAATAAACAACAAGATTGATTCAGATAAAACAGAATAATAGAGTAACTAGGATAAGGTGGAAAGCAGGGTAGAAACATCAGATAGGGTGACCAAGGAAGAAGCCACATGTGAGCTGTCCTTAACAATGAGAGGGACCTGCCATGCGAAAGTATAGAGAAACGCATTCCTGGGAGGAGCAAAAGCTTTGAAGCAGGAACAAATCAGAGAACACAGAAGCAGAAGTGACAGAAAGTGAGATCAGCAAGGGACAGATGATGAGGGACCCTGAAAGCCATGAGGAGGAGTTTGGATTTCATTTAAAATAGAAGGGCAGGAGCTGGGGTTGTGGCTCAGTAGTAGAGTGCTTGCCTGGCATGCATGAGGCACTGGGTTTAATCCTCAGCACCACATAAAAATAAAATAAATATATTGTGTCCACCTAAAACTAAAAAAATAAATAAATATTTTTTAAAAATACAAGAGCAGGAGCTGGTGGGTTTTAAGCAGGGACTGTAAACCTGGGAACTATGGCTGCTGTGTAGAGAATAGATTGTAGAGGGTGCTTTATAATCCACAGACTAAGGAACTTCTAGGCTTCAAGACAGAATCTTGCCTTCAGTTTGAACCTTGGAGAAAATTCCCTGAGCAGATACAATTTTGTGCCTAGTGTTTTGAAAATACAACATGGGTTTTTAAATGCTCTTATGCAGCAATATCAAGAAGAGTTCCAAGAAGGCAAAGTTAGTCCATGAAACAGAACATGTTTTCTTTGTAAAGACACATGCTACATTTTCCAGAGTCCTATTTTTATCTTCTAAGAATGTAAACAACAAGAGACTTCCAAAAAAACTTCAAGCAGACAATTTTTAGCTTACACAAATTATTGCAAAAACTTTGTAAGATTCCTCATTTTTAATCTAAAAGATTGTTCATTCCTTAAAATTTTAATATGTACTTAAAAATCTAATCTATGTCACTCAAGGACTTGGTGAAATTAACAGTTCCTTCTTCTCCTTCATCTCCCTCCTTACTTTGTCTCCTCCCTGTCCCTCTTGAACATCTGCATTAATAAGCCATCACATGAAGATACATTATTTGTTATATTTATTAAATTCTTCTTCTCTATTTTAGATGTAAAATCTGGTAAGGTGAGCAAATTATACACTTTCTTGCTCAAAAAATTTCACAAAGGCTAAAATTAAATTCTTTCTTGTGAGTCAGTGGTTCTTAATCAACCAAGGTTTTCTCTCCAAAGCCCTACTGTGCAGTAACTTCTCACATTCAGAAACTGATGACTATGACCTGGAGGACAGGCTTGTCATAGGAGCTGATATGATGCTCAGACTGAAATTGGTATTAAATTTATCACTTCTCCTGGAGGTGATCGGGGCTGCCCATGGGAAGGAACAAGATAACTGGTCTAAATTCAACTCTCAATTTGCCTGCCCCCCCACCTCTCTCTTGACCTATATGCCTGCCAAGAAGGCAAATGAACCAGAGAACAGATGGTTCTTCTCACTTAGGTACTGTCCTTTCATCTGACTTCCCTTCCCTTTGGAAAATGCTACTTCTAAATAACTTACCATAAATGCCAAGAAGGATACTCACTGAGGGACAATGTCCTGAAGTTTATCTCCGTCCCATTTTTCCCCCCAGCTCTGGTGCTGGCCATGACACGAACAGTATAAGAGGTCTTTCGTGTCAGAGATTCCAGGTCATATTGCTGGACGCTGGAGCTGACTGTCTTGGCTAAAGGAAAAATACAGAAATCAAGGACCACTGTCAAGTGGACTGAAAAATTTCATTTTAGTAGCACCAAAATAAGAGCATTGGAACCCATACTTCCATCACTTATTCCAACCCCTATCCACAACCTGCTTAAAATTAGCCTGTCAACATGGACCAAAGACCTAAATATAAGAGCTAAAACTATAAAAACTCTTAGAAAACAACATACGGTAAATCTTCATGACCTTGAATTTCACAATGCTTTCTCAAATATGATGCCAAAAGCACAAGCAACAAAAGAAAAAATAGATTAAACATAACTTCATTAAAGTTAAAAGGTCTTGTTCATCAAAAGACATACCAAAAGAATGAAAGACAACTCACAAAACTGGAGAAAATATTTGCAAATCATATGTTTAATAAGAAGTTTATATCCACAACTATAAAAAATTTTTGTAACAGCAACAAAAAGACAATCTGATTTTAAAATCGACAACAAGATTAAAGATAGATTTCTCTGAAGAAGATATACAAATGGCGGATAACTACATGAACAGACTGTAACAGTAGGGATTAGAGAAATGTAAATAAGTGAGAAACCACTTCATACCCACTATAATAGCCATAATAGTTTTGGGTTTTGGGTTTTTTTTTTTTTTAATGATAAGTAAGAAGCGTTGGCAAGGATGCAGAGAAACTGAAACCCTATACATTTCTGGTGGAAATGTAATCATTGTGAAATATGGTGTGGTGGGGGCTGGGGCTGGGGCTTAGCGGTAGAGTGCTCACCTAGCACATGCAAGGCACTGGGTTCAATACTCAGCACCATATTAAAAACATAAATAAATAAAATAAAGGTATTATGTCCAACTACAACTAAAAAAAAATTTAAAAAATAATTTGGTGGTGTCTCAATAAGCTAAAGCACCATATGATTCAGCAGTTCCATTCTGAGGTATACACCCAAAAAGAACTGAAAGCAAAAACCCAGATATTTGCACATCAATATTCATAGAAGCATTATTCATAGGATCTATAGGTCAAACAACCCAAAGCCTCATCAAACAATGAATGTGTAAACAAAACATCAAATAACCATACACTGAAATATTAATCCATCATAAAAAGGCCCTAAGGACTCATTAATGCTATAACATAGAAGTTTGAAAGCTGCATATTGTATGACTTTATTTATTTTTATTTTTCATCATTTTGCAGTACTTAGGATTGATCCCAGGGCATTGTGCATGCTTGGCAACCACACCCCAGCCCTAATTATATTTATATGAGATGTTCCTTAATAGGCAATACATAGAAACATAAAGCAGCTTGGTGAATTCCAGAGGCTATAAGAAGTAGGGGATAGGAAATGACTGATTAAAGGGTACAGAGTTTCTATTTGAATGAGAATAGAAAAGTTCTGGAAATAGGGGTGATGGTTTCATAATATTGCAAATATTATTAATGCTAATAAATTGTACAACTTATTTAAAAGGGTAAATTTTATGTTATGTGTATTTTACCTTATCCTAGACAGGGATCCAAGCATATCCCAAAATTTAAGATATCAGGAGATACTGTAGGAGATCCAACATGGCGGCGGGTGCAGAGAGATCACGTCTCTGACCTCTTCAGCTGCGCGGGCATAGGGAGTCGTAAACCGTCTAAATGCTGTTTGCTCAGGATCACTAGGAAATGCTGAGCTGATGTGGATCTGGGGCGAACAGTCTGGGCCTCTCAGAACACACACCGAGCCTGGATCAGCTGAATTCAAGCTCCCGTTCGCCTGTTTCTCGCAGACAAACTGCTGTGACTCAGCACTAAATGATCCCGCTGAAACAACTGGTCGGCTCTTCTGAACCTACGGAGGTTAATGCCAACCGAGCCTTCATAGGCAGTGGCCACAGGATTGAAACGGGGCTTGGGAGAGCCAGTCAGGACCCACCCGTTGCATTGGTCACCCGGCAAAGGGAACGAACTGTCGCCATTTGCATGGGATACCACCATGGCAGAGAACTGACGTCACCAAAATGCGGCGGAGGAGATAACTCCATTGAAACTGGCGGCGACAGGTGTGTAACCCCCTAGCCGTCCCTCTCCACACAGCGGGGAAACCTTAAGGGCCCCTCCCAGCTCTCCCGTGAACGCGATAGCCAGACTGAGGGAATCAGGAGTGGCGCAGGACCCACGGCGCGGAACTCCCGGCTACCGCTCCCACCAGTGCTGACAACTGAGGTCTCTTGCACCAGCTACAAGGGGCATGGCTACCGGAGGGCAAGCAAAATTCGCTGAGGGTTCTCAGCCCCAAGCTCTACAAACTTAGGGTCTGAGGGAATGGCAAACAAGGAGAGTGTGCCCAGTTGTTCATGAAAACAGGGCTCCCGGGAGCAGCAGACCTGGCGTGTAGCCAGTATTGTGGTGAGCGTCACTGGTGAGCGGGGCCTGGCTTGAGGAAAAGTGGGGAAGTGACTAGACACAAGAGAAGGCCCTAGGCACTCAGGATTGGAGACCCGCCCAGTCTGGGAGGAGGAGCTGCTGCACAGTGATTGGTTCCCGCGTATTGAGAGGAGAAGCTTGGCCCGGTGGGAACAGCTCCACCTACTGGAAGAGAAGTTAATCAAACTCTAAGACTGCATTTATTAATTTTTTAATTTTTTTTTAATTTGGTTTTTTTTTCATTTTCATTTTTTTGTTGTTTTTAAATTTTTTAAAAATTTTTTTTTATTATTTTTTTAATTTTAATTTTTTTTTTAATTTTTTTTATTTTCTATTTTTTTCTTTTGTCTTTTCATTTCTTTTCAATTTCCTTATTCCCCCTTCCTTGAATTCTACCTGCTTACTCTCATTCTCTTTAGTGACTTCTTCCCTTCCATTCTAATACCTTTCCTCCCAAGCATCAAATAAATTTATAGAAGTAAACAGTAACTCAGCAGTCAAACAGAACAAGAAGTAACATGAGCAGCATGAAAAAGCAAGGAAGAAAAGGAGTACAAACAATGCAGGACAGCCTAAATATTCAAGAGGACCTAGAGGCATCAGAAAAATGGTCAAATAAAGAACTCAAGGATTACCTTAGACAGATGGAATGGAACCTTAAAGAGGATATGAGACAGCAAATTCAAACAGTGAAAGAACACATTAAGGGCGGCGGAGCGGCCTCGCTGTGCGAGGAGGCCCGGCTGGCGCAAGGCCGCAGCCAGGAGCCCGAGGCCGGGCCTCGCGCTGAGCCTGCTGGGCCGTGGGCTGCCTGCGGCCTGGGCGGCGAGGCCTCCTCCCGGCTGGCGG